GACCAGTTGGTCAGTGTGGGTTAAATTGGTCCCAGCAGCACAAAGTTCAATTTCCATTATGGCTGTCGTGGATTGAGGAACTGCCTCCTTTAACGACATTTCATCTAGATTGTGGTACTGTGGATTGGACCTGTTTTTAGGCAGAAAATTCAGGAGAAGAAGTAGAAGAAGATGCATAGGTGATTTTATGTGGAAACTGATTGGGAAATGAAAATTAGTTTAATGTGCAAATAAATAAACTATGTCTTAGCTGGCATAATAATTTAATCATTTCATTTCCACTTTCTATAGGGCTTCATACAACTGATGAAAAAATGCATGGGTTAGTCACTGGAATAAAAATGTGTGAGATATCAGATCAGTTGGATTTTGCATCTTGCTGTTACATCTGATTTCTACTGCCTTGTGTTTTCAGCACCACAAGTTGGATAATAGATTGCACAACAAAACACTGCAACATCACATCAGATTTCTGAATGCTTCCTCATGTTTCCTGGTGTAGTTTCTTTATTGCCCTAGTTATTGTGTGTGGTGACATTGTAAATTCATATAGAGTGTTTGATCAATTTTCTACACATATCCACCAGAGGAATTTGACTGTTAGTAGTTGTTTTGAGAAAAACGTACACCAAAATATTTTTTAAAACCACAAAACCAAGGAGTAAGCAAGAAATGCAAGAGAAGGCCAATTATTCTGGAGCAATGTAGCTATGTGAAGAATTTCGTACGCGTTATATAATAGTAACAGTTTGATTAACAATAATATCAGATAAAAAGACCACTTGATGGTTGCTAATTCCCATTACAGGAGAAACAGTCTTCTTTTTTGTTGCTTTAAAATATACATGCTGGGCACATAGGATGTGGCTGAATTTAATTACGTTGCATCAATCCCCAAGGATAGAGTATAAAAAGTAATGTTCAGCATAGTGAAGATGTTATTTACTGTCTGTAATTCAGTATTATGCACCTTGCAAGGCAGATGCAGATTGGGGAAGTATCTATCATCTAAATTAGGAAATGGTAGTTGTTTTAGATCTACATGTTTTGCCAAGTTAATATCACTGATCTTTGCTGTTTCCAGATCCTGTATGGGCAGTTTACCTTTATTGCTTAATATGTAATTCAGCAATGCCATGACCTCAGGCAAAAACCTTGTTGCATGAAATGTGTAGTGTAATCTTGTAAGATGTTTCATGTGTGCTTCTAGAACTTTACAGAAAGCAAACTGACTAACAGTTTAGTGAGATTATAGAATCATAAAATCGCTACAGTGTGGAAGCAGGCCATTCAGCCCATTGAGTCCACACCAACCCTCTGAAGAGCATCCCACCGAGAGTCATCACCCTACCCTATCTCTGTAACCCTTCATTTCCCATGGTTAGTTCACTTAGCCTTCACAACCCTGGACACTATTGTCATTTTAGAATGGCCAGTTCATCTAACCTGCACATCTAGGAGTGTTGGAGGAAACTGAAGCACCTGGTCGTACCCCACACAGACACAGGGAGAATGTGCAAACTCCACCCAGTCACCCGAGGGTGGAATTGAACCCGGGTCCCTGGCACTGCGAGGCAGCAGTGCTAACCACTGAGCTACCATGTCACCCCCACATTACGCCAACCACAATAAACAAACTGGTTTATTTTACAATTGGTGAGTGAATGAGGAGAATAATATTTATAGTAAGGCCTACTCTATTTAGTTTATTCATTCCTCTTATGGAAAACAGGAATAGAAATCCTCATGCTGCTCTTTGTGTTTTCAGCACCACAAGTTGGGTAATAGATTGCACAACGATATACTGCAACATCACATCAGATTTCTGAATGCTTCCTCACGTTTCTTGGTGCAGTTTCTTTATTGCCCTAGTTATTGTGTGTGGTGACATTGTAAATTCATATAGTGTTTGATCAATTTTTTACACATATCCACCAGAGTAATTGTGGATTTCATATTACATATTTAGTTCAGTTGTGCCTGTCTGAACTTGCTGTATCTTAGAGGAAGTCATGCTTGTTCTCTAGCTCTCTTCTTCAACAGACCTTTTCAATAACTGACATAGACCAAGGTGTCCAAGGCTCTTTGTTTCCTGTCCAGCCAGGAGAAACAACAGATTGACCTGTGATGCTGTCTTAAATTTCCGTGTCAGGATGGTTAGCCTGTAAGAGTGCTGTTTAAATTAGTCAACTACTTTCTAATTGAGATTCTTAGACATTACCTCCTGTGGTTCTCAAGTGAAAACTATCTGAGCATAATGTTTTGGACACTTGGTTATGGAATACAGTTTCTCGGTGTAAGATCACACAATTAGCTTACAAACTTATTCACTGCACTTCTGGGCTGCCTTGGCACTGTAATGCAGACAATGTTATGGGCACATTTCCAATCCTAATTCCCAAATTTGTAAAACAATTTATCTAAGTTAGAACTCAGTCACTATGGGCGTCTGAGGTATATAAAACTTTTATTTTGATCTCAAATAACTAGGTCTTTTAGTGGGATATTCCAGTCTCACAAAAGCGTGGCAACAGCTCAGTGATCTGTGCTAATTAGCCAATCTCAGCTCTTGTGAAACTGTTGTAATTAGTCTTAATGTCTACAGACCAGCAAAGGGAGAAAAAATCTAGCAAAATTCTTTACCTGAGCTTGTGAAATTGTGCAAATATCAGTATCAAGTGTGGACAAGTTAACCCTTTGCTGTGATGACATCATGATGAAAAACTTGCTAACTTTTACAGATTCTCAAATAAGATACAATTTATGCACTAGGGAGAGCTAGCAGAGACCCAATGCTTTTCACAACATGATAGAACATTTGTCTTTTTGCTGTTAAAATGTATGTCAAGAATTTAACCTGAATTTATATTCATATCTTGAGATTTAAGGCAGCTCCAAACTCTGAAGCACGCTGCAAATATAAAAAAAATCACACAACTGAAAGGTGGTTTGAACTAACCCTCTCATGGCAAGGTTTCATAAGTCTGAAAAGTGCAAATTATTTTTCAGACAGAAATGGAAGCCACTCATCCTTTTCAAGTGATTTGAACAGCTATACAAACTGTCCTGTAAGTTAAACATGATAGTTTCTGAACCAGTGGGAATAATAGCACATAAGAAATAGTTTTTTAAGTAATTAGAGTTAAATTTACCTTGCCCAACAAAGTTGTTTGAAAGTCAGAATTAAAACTTTTTTAATGGCTGGTGTCTTCCTTATTAATATTATCACTTGGGTCTGTCAACTCCAATAGTATGATGAAAATGGAACCACTTTTTGTTGTGCACTGCTGCGTCTTAAGAAGAAGCGACTCCACTTAATTTGCATAAGAAAGTCTTTGTCAAAATTGGGGATTTTCCACAGTACACATTCAAAAGAGCTGTGAGTAGTACCTATGCAGGTTCTGAAATTCAAAGAGGAATTACAAAATTAAATCAAGAACTTTTTAAGAATATGATATTCAACAGGCATACAAAGAACAAGAGATGAGGCCGAAAGTACAAAATAATTTAAGATAATCTCAGTGAAAAGGCAGAAATATTGGGTAGAATTTAATATGTGGAAGGTTTGATAGGGGATGTGGTCATTTAATAAAGTGAGAAGGTGATGGATAGGGATACATATAGCCTTCACCCTCTACCCTAGTAAAGTCTGTGATGGGAGTACTTATGGATGAGCATTTGAAAGGGTTCAATAGGATAGAAATAAAGACAACGTTTCCATTGAAGGTGGTGGTATTTAATGAAGATGACAGTGGTCTCAATTCTTGATGAGGAGTTAATAAAAACCTCACACTTCCTCCTTTTATACTCACTCAAGATGGTGGGTGGACCCTGGCACAGGTGAGTAATGGCATATGGTGTTTTTGGGTATCGCAGGGAGAGGATGGACTTTCGGCAGCAGGAGCAGGGCATAGCTCTCAATAGCTGCCCTCATTCCCAGTGCTGTGTTGCTCAATCTTGCAGAGTGCCTTTGAATGAAGCACCCCACCTAAGGAGCCCACAATTTGGGGTGTCTGCAAAGTGAACCCCCACCCACCACTAATTGAATACCAGTGACACTGAGATGAGACCCTCAAATGAACATTAATTGTGATTGTACTTGAGATGAATATTACAAAATATTGAGGGGAAGGATGATAAATACATGAGGAAGAAAAGAGTAAAATAATATGTTAATAGGGTGAGATGAAGTAGAATGTGAGGAGGCTTTTTTGGAACATAAACAGCCTCTGTTGACAGGCCTATTCCTGTGCCGTAAAATTCTGTGTAATGGTAATTAAGCTTAGAGATAATATTAAATATCACACTCTTCACGCAGGAATGGGGAAGACAATTGTAGTGCGTCAATCTCTAACCCAGCTAGGATGAGCTAACTCAGCACAGATTGAAGGTGTGTAAACAGCCTTATTGATATGTATGGATCAGCTACATATTAACTAGCCTTACCTAGTTACTGGGACAACTAATTTTTGATGTGTTAATGACATACATGTTTTCTCTCTCCTCATTGTATACAGTAATGTTTAATTGCTAATACTGTTGCAGAGCATGTGGGGACCATAATGAAAACTAATTGAAATAAAATATAGCTCTACTCACTAAAAATTTTCCTCAGATGGTTTTCTTAACAAAAAGTTTAATGCACATTGACTAAACCTAACTTTAAATCGATTACAAAAAGAATAAGTTTGTGCCAAGCAAAAGGTACTGCAAACCCTGTTGGGTTGAACTGCAAACCGTAAGAATCCAAGTAAGTGGTGCTAGATTAGATGGCTGAGCCACATTATTAAATCTGTGATAAATGATTAGAATCTCCTGTCAAACATATTTATGTTGCTATATGTCTTGAAAACTGGTACAGATACTTGCTTCAACCCCTTACCCACTCGTGCTTTAAATACATTAGGTATTGGCAAGATTGTGCATTTTCAAGTAGCCTAAAGGTCACTGGGTGTTTTGTTGCCAATGTTCACAAGGCCTTTGATTCTTTCTGATTACAGCCGGTGCTCAAGGCAAGATTGGATATGCTTTTGGCCTGGGGTTGGAACGGCTGGCAATGATTTTGTATGGAATACCAGATATCCGCTTGTTTTGGAGTGAAGATGAACGATTCTCGAAGCAATTCCAGGTTATTGACATCGACCAGAAAGTCACATTCCAGGTTAAGAAACTATTTTAATTTATATATTTTTTCAAACTGTATTGGGTTAAATTGTGGGAATTAACAATTCTTAATAGAGGTCTTATGTCATAAATACCTCATGTTTATATTTCCTTTCTTCATTTATTATTTTTAGCCTCTGCGCTTTTACGATATTAAACATTTTGTTCAGAGGATGTTGGTGACACTGATAACTTTCTAGAGATACTATTGGTTGAAGCACTGCATGCTTGGAGTGATGGTGTGTCCATAGTGGTGTTAAATGTGCAGTTATTAGGCATTGATTCAGTGACAATGCAACTATCATAGTTAAAGACATTTGCAGACTTCTGCTTAAGATGCTGTTCAGCAGGCAATTAAATTAAGGAAGTATGAGGGCAAATAGCAGGTTAATTTTGAGGAAGAATAGTTCTGACTTTGTAAAATTGGTAATAGCAAGTTGCCAGCCCGAAATACACTTCTGTCAATTTTTACTTCCAATTTTCAGTCATTGAAGTGACGTAAAATAGACTACTGATTTGCCATACAAAAAAACCAAAAGAACTGCAGTTGCTGGAAATCTGAAACAAAAGTAGAAATTGCTGAAAAATCTCAGGAGGCCTGGAAGCATCTGCAGAGAGAAATCAGAGTTAATATTTTGGATCCAGTGACCCTTCCTCAGAACACATGTTCTTGCTATTGGGCCAATCTCAGCCAAAGCAGGAAGACAGAAAATTAGCATTGTCTTAGATGGCATCCATTTCGTGCGCAAGTAATTATTGACGGTCAATAACAGGCAATAATTCTGTTTCTGAATTTCTGTCCCTCTGTTTTAACTTCTTTTTATTCAGTGCTGCCTTACATTGTTGAGAACTTAGTGTGTTGGTAAACCTGTATGTTGCAGAACAAATTGAGGGTCTGACGTGCCAGCCCATTTCAGCCTTGGCTTCACCTTGCTTTTCAGACTTCCAAGGTTGTTGTTTGTTTCTTGCATCTTAATAACCTTGGGGAAACATGGAGCTTTAGTCAAGGGTCTGTAATTAGTCTTTATAACTTGTTGTAAATACTCCTGTGGTCAGTATCATGCCTATGTAAAACAGGTAGATGCAGTAGCATTGAATACCTTCCAATGTTGTGTTGTTCGATTTCATCCAGGGTAAAATATAAGAAACGACAACTCATGGGCTAATGTTTGTTTGAGCTAGGCGAGCTTTATCTATTAAAAGCTAGTTCAACTTGCCTATCAACTTTAAAATGCTCTGCATAAGAGTTCTGAGTACATATAATCTAAATAAATAATTGAAGTCCGCTTTGTGCAACAGTTTTTGAGGACATAACCACAAGGATTGATGAGGACAGAGCAGTAGATGTTGTCTGCATGGACTTTAATAAAGCCTTTGATTTTGTTCCACATGGTAGATTAATTAGTAAAGTTAGATTACATGGGATTCAGGGAGAGTTTGCCAATTGGATAAAAAATTGGCTGAGGTAGGACACAGAGGGTGGTTGTGGAGGATTGTTTTTCAGACTGGACGCCTGTGACCAGCAGTGTTCCACAGGGCTTCGTACTGGATCCACTTTGTTTGTCAATTATACAAACGGATTTGGATGAGAATTTAGCAGGTATGGTTAATAAGTTTATGGATAACATCAAAATTGGTTGGACAGTCGACAGTGAAGAAGGTTATTTAAAAAAGGGATCTTGATTAATTGAGCCAATGGTCTGAACAGTGACAGATGGAATTTAATTTGGATAAATGTGAAGTATTGCATTTTGGTAAAACAAACAAGGGCAAGACTTATACAGTTAATGGTAGGGCCCTGGGTAGTGTTGTTGAAGAGAGAGACCTAGAGGTTCAGGCACATTGATCTTTGACAGTTGCATCACAGATAGACAGGGCGGTTAAGAGGGTGTTTAGCACACTTGCCTTCATTGCTCAGACCACTGAGCATAGGAATTGGGATGTCGTGCTAAGGTTGTACAGGACGTTGGTGAGGCTGCTTTTGGAGTACTGTGTACAGTTCCAGTCAGCCTGCTACAGCAAGGATATTATTAAATTGGAGAGGGTTCAGAAGAGATTTACCAGGAAGTTGCCAGGTCTGGAGGGTTTGAGTTATAAGGAAAGGCTGGTTAGTCTGGAGCATAGGAGGTCGAAGGGTGACCTTATAGAGCTTTATAAAATCATGAGGGGCATAGCTAAGGTGAATAGCAAAGGTCTTTTCCCGAGGGTGGGTGAGTTAAAAACCAGGGGTTATATTTTTAAGCTGAGAGGAAAAAGATTTAAAAGGGACCTGAAGAGCAACGTTTTCACGTAGAGGGTGGTTCATGTGTGGAATGAACTGCCAGGGGAAATAGTAGATGCAGGTATGCTTACAACATTTAAAAGACATTTGGATAGGTACATGAATAGGAAATATTTAGAGGGATATGGGCCTATTGCAGGCAGATGGGACTAGTTTAGTTTGGGAAACTGGTTGCCATGGACGAGTTGCACCAAAGGGTCTGTTTCTGTACTGTATGACTCCATGACTGTATGACCCATGTATGCACACAGTAGGAAAATAAAAGCAGTGGAAAAATTATGCCTCGTAAATTTATTGTTGTCAATGTTAGTATAATACTAGATTAACAGGGTAGCTGTGACAGTTGCTGAAAATTAAGAATGCGGTATGTCGTCTGGTATCTGTTCTTGGACACATTGACTAGTTTATGTATGAAAAACATTTTATTCAAGCACTCTTGTCTGTGATGCGGACAAAGGGACACAGAATTCAGTTTGTGGTTCAACTTAGTTTTATTAACAAAATATTTCTTATTAAAATCACCATGCGAGCGTTTCCCAAATTCCCACAATATTTACTTATGACCTATCACTGTCCATCTGAGAAACAATATTACCAGCAACAGTTCATATGTTTGAGCTTGACTGTTGGAATCTCCTTCCTTTCCAATGTAGGGCTGGCTCTCTTCCACGTAGGTGGGTCTTACAGGTCAGGGCAGATCTTCTCCTGGATCTTCTTGTATTGCTGCACAGCCTTCTGCCATGAGTCTTGCTCGAGTCTTTGCAGAGGGGTTGGCTTCCAGGTGCATTTTTGTATACCCATTTGCCTCAGACCTTCCCAAATGAACCATGGCCTTTGGCCATTTGGGTCACGAGCCAGGGTCGTGCCAGCACCCTCCACTGTTGCCATGCCAGGGGAGCTGTAAAGTGCATTTCCTCAAGCACTGGCTGGATGTCAAGGTGCCAGAAAGTCTGACCGATGCTTCTCCAATACATATCCCTCAGGCTGGTTGTAACTGGTTTCTCCGAACCTTTGCGACCTCTTTGAAATTGGTGTCCATGTTCTCTCTGGCCGATAGCTGCTGATTGCTTTTTGCTTTAGTTTGTGCATTTCACTCAGGCCCAATTTCTCCAACTGTAGGTCAATTTAGAATATCCAGTTTGGGCCTGTGGTCGCTTGACCACACATCTCTACAAGAGACAACTTTCACAACTTTATGCACCCAGTGAAGAGATTAACCTGCTGAATTTGTACATATAGGAAATTTGGTAGACAAGGCTAATGTTTTTCAAAACAATTAAATCAGTGTTGATAAATCTGAGTACTCATTTTTATTCTTCCAAAAGCAAATCAAATATTAGTCTTTAGTTTATTTCAGCCTATCATAATACATATTTTTGTGGTAGTTTCAAATTCTTTGGATTTTTAAATAATGCAACAATAGTTATAAGCTAGAATCTGTAGATAAGAGTATGAATTTAGAAAGAATCAATACAAGAATATAGGAACAGCAATGAGGTTTCCTGTGATGGTTGATTGCCCTGACCTTTGATCTGAGCAACAAATGAGTTTGTCAATTACAAATTTAGTGAAAACTAAATCCATGTTATTGCTAAAAGCCAATTTGAGAATGATTAACTTTGAAGTTTCAGCTACATTATGTAGTCCATTTTTTGCTTTAAATTTAGCTTCATCTTTTCAATACCTAAACAAATGAGCTGGAATGGAGGGTTGAACTCCTGATTGAATAATGATAAAAAAAGTTCATTTGTAGGGATGGTTTTTTGAAGCAGCACACTAGAATCTGTCTGACATGGACCATGTGCTTCAGGAATTCACAATGGAAAGTGGAAACAGTTTAAATTATTAAAAATGTTCTAGCTTAAGATTGTACTCATGTATCCAAGGTTAGAAGTTCCAATCACAGAAATTGCTAGAGAAACTCAGCAGGTCTAGCCACAGAAAGCAGAGCAAACATTTTGGGTCCAGTGACTGTTCTTCAGAACTGTTACCTGCCTATCTGCCTTAACCCATTAGAAGCAAGATTTTGTCAAAATCAAACACAAGCACTTGTGGAGACAGAAACAGAGGTAATGTTTCAAGTTTCAGAACTGAAAGGCGTTTTTTTTGTATACTTTTGGCAGAGGAGGAGCAAGAGATCAGATGGTGTAGAGGTGAAAGACCAGGAGTGTATCAATGGTGGTGAAAGAGAAAAAGATGTAAAATGGGAGTAAATTAAGCTGAGAAAGGAGAGAATTGGTCCTCTCTATTAAAATCAAAGTAAACTTTTGGGGCAGCACAGTGGCTCAGTGGTTAGCATAGCTGCTTCACAATACCAGGGACCCGGGTTTGATTCTAATCTTGGGCGACTGTGTGGAATTTGCCCATTCTCACCGTGCCTGTGTGGGTTTCCTCTGGATGCTCTGGTTTTCTCCCACAGTCCAAAGATGTGCAGGTTAGGTAGATTGGCCATGCTAAATTGCCCATAGTGCTCAGGGATATGCAGGGTAGGTGGATTAGCCGTGGGAAATGCAGGGTTACAGGGATAGTGAATGGGGGTGGTGGGGTGGGTCTGGGTTGATGCTCTTTGGGGGGTCAGTGTGGACTCATTGTTTGAAGGGCCTGCTTCCATACTGTAGGGATTCTATGATTCTAAACAAGACAAGGCTGATCAATGGCAAATGAAATTCAATCTGGATAAGTATGAGGTCATGCACTTGGGCAAGACAAACAAGGCA